AACTAGACAGAGCAGAGAGAGAGGGGTAACAGGCGGGTGCCCTCCCTCCTCCCTCCCCTCCTTCTCGTTTCCTGTCGTGATGATTTAAGGAGATGGGGAGAAATGAGAGGGAACCTTAAAAGGCAATGTTTAGGCATGCTCGCGCTCTCCATTATCAAGCCAGAGTCTGTGTCTGTGTAAACACAGCATCTGCCTCATCTGTGGAGGTGAGCGGTTTGGCACTAGTCTGGCCTGTCACTGTAATAACTCTCTCTTTCGCTCCTTCACCGTATCCCTCTCTCTCTCTCTCTCCTGGTCACATACACACGTTTACACAGATCACATGCCATTTCCATCACCCCTATGATTCACTCTGCTCTGTTTCACTGTTGTAGTGTCTCATGAGAAGTGTACTAAGTATAGTATAGCTTTCATTTTTTTATGTATTTAGTCATATTTTATTACCTTTTAATTATGAATATTTCTTCCGTTTTTTACGATTCAGTTTATTTGTATTTTCTTCTGTTCGTTTTTTATGTATATTTATTTTATATTCATTTTTATTTTAGTTAAAAATTCTTCTGTAGCTGCCAAGTTATTTGTCTCTATCTTTCGTCAGAATAAATGCCACCAGATGTATAACATCTTTTATTAGAACTTACTGTAAAATAATATTAAAAATGCATTTTTTCATGTTTCATGTTTAATCAGTGCAGGTTTTAAAGGTTCAAAAATGTATATTATACACAGAATTAAAAATTAAAGAGTAATATGTTCTGATTTTTTTATACAATGTTTTTTTATTTGTTTATACAATTATTTTAGCTTGTATTTTTATTTCAGTTAACAAAAATATATTTAGCTAACTAAAATAATGTTATACTATTTGTAAGTGACTTTCAAACTGGACATTAAATCATAGTCTTGCCACAATCTCTGTTTTTTGTTTTGTCTCTGGAATGGTTTGTTTTTTTAACTATTGCAAAAAACAGCTGGCGTGCTGTGAAGTGTGTAAAGCTGGTAACACTTAGGCAATCTTTAGATCAGGACTGTAGACTTCCTCCTAAATGGCCAGACTATGTGTGTGTGTATCAGCGTTTGTAGAAACTGAAGGCCATCTGGTGTGATTGGAGGTGTGTGAGGTTCACCTCAGCATACAGCCAAACCGCCAGAACTGCCTTATACAACACAACATGCCAAGAAATCTGAGACATCCTTTGCATGTCATGCTTGAAATAACCATTAACATACTTTGGGGGATTTTGAGAAAGTATCTTTACAAAAAAAATACGACATGGGATAAATCTTGATTCACATATCCAGTCTATTCCCATTGTGAGACAAATTTAACTCTTGCCTCCCAAGTAGGACAGAGCCTGGGAACTAGGGTTTAACCAACAGGATGTGATGTTTATTATTGGGGCTCACTTATTAGGCAGTAGTTCAGTATGAGTTTCTCCACAAGCGTAGAGCCTGGCAGCAGGATGTGTTTGTTGAGTTTTCCCTCACATGGAATAATAACTGAGACATCCGGCTCCATAATATCTCACAGAAAGGATATTCACATCTGTCAAATACGAGACCCAAGGCCTCGGCTACACATACTCAGGCAGATTTCCCTCGAAGTTTTCTGGCTTCTTCTACACCTTCGGCTCTCTTTTGCCTTTTACGTCAGGCTCCCGCCGGCTGTGACTAGAAAAGGGAATGTATGCAGGCAGTACGGCGGAGAGCGACCGGGGGGAGGGGAGGGCACACGGAGCTGTGACAAACTATCTGCTTCCACAATCACTGGCCGTTAGAGGCTGAAAGAGTGAATGTTTATCGAAAGCGCAGCTACATTTTCCATTATCCCAAAATAAAATCCCTTCAGAATTCCTTATATGGGCTGAGGGAGATTCCAGAAGGGGGATACGAGACAACCTAAAGCTCTCACTTGTTGGAAAAGACTCAAAAAAAGACTTAGGAATTTTCATGTTGTTTCTCCACTTTTCCCCCATTTTTTTGGAAGAGCCTTTCTGCTTTGTAGTCAATTTGATACTCCACAAATTCAATTAAGCGGGATTTGTTGGGATTCTTAGCCTCCTTATCAAAGCCGCCTGGGGCATTCTGAAACCCTATGAGGATAATTGTTGTAGTCTTTTCACACAAAGTCAACTGAGAAATGTGTGGAAAATCACTGATATTTGTACCTCTTGGCTGTTGCACATGACACTGGAATGGTAGAATTAGCAGTGACATTATCCTGGAATTTCTGTTTATGAGATTCCATCTTTATCTCTCATTACAGAGTCTGCAGGGGGGGGACACAACATGGACAGTTGACACAACATGCTTCAGGTGATAACATACTGTATTCCCTTCCATATCCTTGAGATTTTTTTTATGTTATGGAAGCCTTTCCGTTTCTGTATAAAAATAATAAAAACAAAGGTAATTGCAACTTTTTATCTCACAATGTAATTTTAAATCTTGCAGTTGCGACTTTATATTTCACAATGTGACTTTATGTCTCAAATAGTACATTTTATATCTCGTAATGTTGACAATATCTCACAATTTGACATTAAATCTTGCAATTGTGACTAAATTTTATCTCATAATTGGGACTATATCTCACATTTTGGACTTTATCTCTCACAGTTTGACTTTAAATCTTGCACTTGTGACTGACAGTGTGACTTTATACCTCAAAATATTAAATTGTATAACTTGTAATTGTGACAGTATCTCATATTTGTGACTTTATATCTCAACATTTGACTTTAAATCTCGCAGTTGTGACTTCATATCTCAGAATGTACATTTTTACATCTTATGACTCTGTCACAATTTGACTTGCAGTTTACTGTCTATCTCTGAATGTAAATTTTATATTTCAATATTTTGCATCACATAATTATGACATTATCTGACATTTTTGAACCGTATCTGTCACACTTTTACTTTACATCTCTCAGTTGTGACTTTATATCTCAAAAAGTACATTTTATTAATTGTAATTGTGACATTATCTCATAATTGAGTTTTAAATCTTGAAATTGTGACTTTATATCTCAGTGTCAATTGTATATCTCATAATTGGGACTATATCTCACATTTAGAACATTATGTCTCACAATTTGTCTTGAAATCTTGCACTTGTGATTGACAGTGTGACTTTATATCTCAAATCTAAATCTTGTAATTGTGACAGTATCTCATATTTGTGATTTTATATCTCAACATTTGACTTAAAATCTCTCAATATCTCTACTTTACATCTTGCAGTTGTGACTATAACCGACAGTGTGACTTTATAATCTCAGAATATAATTTCTTTTATATCTCATAAATTTAACTATATCTCACAATTATATATTTTGTTACTTTATATCTCACAGCTGTGACATTACAGTTCACAATTTGACTTGAAATCTCATAATTGCGGCTACATCTCAGTCATGACTTCATATCTCACAACGTGACTATTTCTTAAACTTCACCTCACAATTAACCTGTACACTAAAACGAAAACAGGCTCCTATATAATATACTTAAAAGGAAGACTAAGTGGAAGTTTTTCCTTTGTTGTACTCAGAAATAGGTCACCGTGCTTCATTTCAGTCTATAAACAGCAACAAAGTGGAGCCAGACGTGCTTGTCAACCGAGCCCTTGAGTGCTTCTCCAAAGGATTTTACTGTAAACTGCAAACAGTACCTTGTGGATAAGCTGCATATCTGTCTGTTAATGCCTGCTGCCCTCATCTCTCTCCATAAACCACAGCACTGCTGGAAAAGCCATTAGAGAGCTGTGTCAGAGCGAGCGAATGATCCTGCATAATCACACCCGCTTCCTGGATGGAGAAGTGAAAACGATCCACAAAATATATAGAAGGAGCGCAAAGAGTTGCCTGTCTGTGAGAATGAGCCCAGCTCTGGGTGCTATACAGTAGCATTTTGTGGTTTCCACACACCACAGCATCAGACAGCAGCACATTCAGAGAGCTGACGGCACTAGAGCGAGGATTTTCTGCTATGCAGATGCCAGTGTGGTGTTATCACATGATTGGGAAGGGCTCAGACTCTTTTAAACATATTTGAACCATGTCATCTGCTACTTATGGCGCTTTTCCACTGCGTGGTACGACTCGGCTCGGCACGGCACGGCTCGGCTCGGGTTGCGGTTTCCCTGCAGTTCAGTACCTCTTTAGAGTGGGCGGGATTATTCACATGTCGTTATAGTTGCGCCGCCTCTATTGCCGCAACTCCTGAAAAACGTTTTCATTCCGCGTCGCCCCATCAAGCTCTCGCTGGATCCGCTCCTCTGCTATCAATGAGAGGAACGTCTGTACTTCCTCAACAGACAACGAAACAGACACTTTTTGGTTGTTAAAAAAGGTGTGCCCATTCAAAACAGTTGCGTTCGATCCTTCGCTGGCTGTGCTGATTTAAATCTAGCGGTTCTTTTGTGTTTGTGTCGCAAGTTCAGTGACGCAGATAGTGACGATTCTCTCCGGCCAATCCGTGATCAGCAGAGTTTACACGTCACGTTTTGGTAACGGTACGGTTCACTTGGAACCTCAACCGAGGTGATACTAAAAAAAGTACCAGGTACCAGGTACTGTACCCAGTGGAAAACCCCCCAAAAGTGAACCGTACCGTGCCGTACCATGCAGTGGAAAAGCGCCATTAGAGAAGATAAAACTCACACTGGGCTGGATTCTGACAGGTTTATGAATCTTTTCAGACATCCTGCTTCTTGAATATGTGTCAAATCAGCCTGTTTAACCACCTCTGTTCGGTTGGGATTTTATAGGATGAGAAAGGCTGTCCCCTTGAACCCGGCTTCCCTGCGGACCGGTCTGATTGAGACAGAGGAAGTGGTTGTGTATAAAGGGGTGTGGCCTCGCATTCTGCGGTACACTGACTCAGGGTCACTACAGCAGACGGCTCTGCATTGATGTTGCTTTGAACTTGTGTATACAGATGTCCACTGCAGGAATAAACATCCTGTTCTGTAACCACCGATCTAGCAGAGCCAGTCTTAGCCGTATACCGCTGGGGGCAGAAAAGCGCTGGAAGTCAGAGCAAGTGTGCAGTTGTTTGTTTAGTGGATTGGAGTCCCGCAGCTCCAAGGTTTTTCTTGGGTGTCAGCCACTTTCAGAGGCAAGAGCTCATGCTAAATATCCCGCTGTCAGGCTGGCAAGCTTATTTGTGTCTGAATCGCTACATAAAGTCTTTCTGTTATCCTGGGTGGCATATTCCAAAGCATAGGATCAAGACTGGAATAGGAAGGAAAAGCTGAGAGGTTTGTAGGGAGATCAGGGCATGTAGGTCAAAGCCATTTCCTGTACACCCACAACACTTCCCCCACAAACATCCATCAACTTTCCTCAGTGTTTTTGTCCAAAAAGGGAGAAAACACTAAATAAATACCATCTATCAATGTGTAATTGAATATTCATCTTCTGCCCCTGATCTTTAGGTTTAATAGCTGCAGGTCAGGCCGGCTGGCTCGGTGACAAACTGAGGAATTCATCCAAATTCATCCTCTGGTTCTTTATATGAGACTGAGTCACCTCCCATGTAATCAACAGGACGTAGGAGGTCGTAGTCCATGTTGATCAAAGATGGTAAGATGGAAAACACAAAAGGAGTCCTGCATGATTCATTCGCCCTACAGTCCTCAGGCCCAAGGTGCAGTGCTGCATCTCTGGTCAACTGGGAGTCTGAGATGAAGCACTGTAGCTCGGGAGGAAGGGCAATACACTGAACGCAAGATACCTTGATTTTAAATGACAAATTTGAGATTGCAATTGAATAAAATACTCATTTATAATTAGCAGTAGCCTAACCATTGTTGTTTATCATTAGCTTTATTTGGTAGACCAGGTGTTGGTAATTCTAGGATTAAATGTGCTTCTATTGTTGCCAGTCTTCCATCAATGCATTCCATCATTTCCCCATCCCCGGGGTCCAGTTTTCCCAGGAATCCCTTGGGCAATCATAAGGGGGATTCCTGGAAATACTGTTCTTGGGGGTGGGGCTGGACAACTGAATTTATCAAATAATATTTTATAATATGATCACTAGTTATACTCCATTTTAACATTTTAAAAATGTAACATGTATTGCAATATGCCATTCCAAAGTTTGGGGTTGTCAAGGTTTATTTAGCATTTTTTATGCTCGCCAAGGCTACATTTATTGAATTAAAAATACAGTAATATAGTGAAATATTATTACAATTTTAAATAACTGGTTTATATTCTAATATATTTTAACATAAATAATTTATAATTGTGACCCTGGAGCACAAAACCAGTATTAAATCGCTGGGGTATATTTGTAGCAATAGCCAAAAATACATTGTATGGGTCAAAATTATAGATTTTTCTTTTATGCCAAAAATCATTAGGATATTAAGTAAAGATCATGTTCCATGAAGATATTTTGTAAATTTTCTACCGTAAATATATCAAAACTTAATTTTTGATTAGTAATATGCATTGCTAAGGACTTCATTTGGACAACTTTAAAGGAGATTTTCTCAATATTTTGATTTTTTTGCACGAGATTCCAGATTTTCAAATAGTTGTATCTCGGCCAAATATTGTCCTATCATAACAAACCATACGTCAATGGAAAGCTTATTTATTCAATTTTCAGATTATATATAAATCTCAATTTTGAAAAATTTACACTTAAGACTGGTTTTGTGGTCCAGGGTCACAATTTATTCCTGTGAGGGCAAAGCTGCATTTTCAGCAGCCATTACTAAAGACTTCCGTATCACATGATCCTTCAGAAATCCTTCTAAAATGCTGATTTGGTGCTCAAGAAATTAATTATTATTATCAATAGTAAAAACAGTTGTGCTGCTTACTATTTTTGTGAAACTGTGATTTTTTTCAGGATTTGTGATTAATAAAAATAACAGCATTTATTTAAAATGGAAATCTTTTGTAACATTATAAATATGCTTACTGTCTCTTTTGATCAATTTAATGTGTCTTTGCTGAATAACAGAATATATTTCATTTAAAAAATCTGCCCCAAACTTTGAATGTTTATATTACAAATATATTTTATATGTTATATTGACGATGAAGATAAAGATATTATATATTATATGTTAAATCATTTACAGATTTAAATATAACAGTTTTCAATTTATAATGTAAAGACAATAAATACATGAACTGATGTTGACCTCCTTCAATGTTTCATTAAAACTACTGTTTATTCATCTGAAAGTGTTGTTATTGTTTATTCATCAAAAAGTGTTGTTACTGACTTTTAAATATATCCCTATTTAACCAATTGTTTATACTGCTTTGAAAGATATTGTAAAGCCTTTACTTACATTTATCAAATGACATGAAAAAACAGCGCCACCTATTAGTGAAAATGTACAGAACATCAAACACAATGTCCACGGGGGGGCGCAGTTCACATTGTAAGGCGTTTCAAAGGGAAACCGCAGCCCACACGTGGTGGCTCAGATTACAGGAATTGTACTGAAGTGTGACTGGAGCTATATACGTTTTTTACAGTTATCACAGCAGTCCTACTATAAGACCATATATGGTAACCCCTCTATTTGTGTTAATGTAAATGTGAACAAGAAAGAAAATGTGAACAGGTAGCCTAATCAAAGAGACCATTCATTAAATAATGCATTTTTGATATTGTTTTATAATACTGTATACACCTATGTGCAGTGAGTCATTCAGGATTAAGTGGGCGGTAGATGCTCATATGTTTATGTGAGATTTCTTATACTGTTTACCAATGCTGCCACTGAAATGTTTGACACTGTGTTGGAGGAAAAGATCCACACATTTGGCCCTCTGACAATTATATGTATTTAAATAATAGTAAACAAGAAACTGTAAAGCAATTGCGATTCAAAACTACTCTCACTCTTATCAAGGTCTCCTGAGAGACATCAGTTGCATAAATGTTGATATGGTTTGCTTACATGCGAGGAGAGGGAAGGGAAAGGCACCAGGATCTGTGCTGAGTTGCACCGTGTCACGTTCAGCCCAACAGCTGCCTGGTGGAATCCAGCTCTGTTGATTCTGAGCCTCTGAATCCACATCGGCAGAGATGCTGATACAAAGACAGCTGTGTGTGCTTCAGACGACGAGATGGTAAATACGTGACAGGATAAAAAATATGTAGCTTCGAGGCTGAATCAAACTTTTCTGCATTTTTCTACATCTGTGTTATTTTGGGTTGCAGCACATCTGCGTAAAGCATAGCTACATAACCAGAAACAACAATAGATAGGCCTGAAGTCAAAAAACTTTGCCATAGCAAAACAGGAGGCAAAATATTTTATTCATATGATTTTATTCTTATTCTTATTATGTAGTGCCTTTTACGTTGTTTCTTTTTGGCACAATATAGTGAACTGGCTGGGTATATTTGCTATTAATTTAATAACTTAGTACAAATACGATTATTTGGGGCAGTGCTATTTTAGTATACATGAATTTAAACTAAATTAAAATGAGATATGTTACTTTGGCAACTAGCTAAAATAAAACGTTTATATATATATATATATATATATATATATATATATATT